GGTTAGGTCCCAATGCCACTACAAGCTACTCCACCCTTATTTCCTGTTTTTCTGTAATTGCGAAACAAAGACATTCCGGGTATTGCTAGCTAGATATCGGAGTTCCAGATATTCCTATCAGATGAGCATTATTAGCGTTGTTGAGTTCACGTATCTCATCCATTTTATTCGGTAAACTCGAGGCGTTCGTACATAAGCAGCTTGTGCTTTCTATTTGAAACGTGTGAGCTTCTCCCTGTTTGTCTGTATCAGCCTTACGTGAATGGAAAGATAGCCTAGCTATACAAAGTTTTCTAAGTTGATAGTCCCTGTCCTTTACTCGTTTTTTATGATCAATACAGTTCACAAACGGAATGGCCAGCCCCAACTTGCCTTTGTGCTTGATCCTGGCGTCATGCGGCCCATATGGATTCGGACTGGCAACCGACGTCTGCTGGCACGAAATGCTTCCGGATTTGCAGTTTCCATACGGGAGGGTGGAAAGTTATTTTCATAAGCATTTGGGTTGAACGGTCTTTAAGGCAGTCAAAGTACCTTGATACGACGATAAAGAAATCCACGTTAATCGCTATGAGGTATGAGTTTGAAGTTAGCTGGTTCGTCACACCACTCCCGTCTAACTCCTGTAGGCCCTCAATGGTTCAACACATATCATTCGCGTTAGTGATCTACGGGGCTGCGGAATCTCTTCATATGATTACGTCAAACGATTTTACAAAACGCCCAGTTGAAGCTCCCCATTCAACACTCCTTAAAAGTCACTCGCTCATATTCCTGTGATAATTTTTTATAGCCTCTATAAATGAGAAGCAAAGTTGCTGTACGCATGAAATTTTTAGTTTTTACAGGAGAAACATTTTTTGGAACTTTCCCCATGTCAAATCAATAAATTCATTGACAGAAGACAAAACTATCAGGAATTATTTTTGGATGAATATCATCGGGAAACTAGTTTTCCTTGGAAGATTGTTGTTATAAAAGTCTTCTTCCAAGTTTTGTTTGAACTGCATCGCTTTCAGCAGCGAAATTGCGTGTAAATATACTATCTGAAATGAGTCTACTGCTGGCCTGATCATGTGCATAATGGCGAAATTGATGAATGACATGGGTTCTTAAATAATGACAGCTGTGATTTTACTGAACATAACATAAACGAAAATGCTTAAAGCTGATACTGCATTTTCAAGTCAACATTCCACTGTTTTAACATGCCGTTCTTAGAAATAGGCGAATAAATCGTTTAATTTATTTCAGTGCTCGTAGTGGGTGTGCTTATAAAGGTTCAGTGTAACGTTTGTTTGAACAGATTATGGAACTTAATTTTCATGTACTTCAATAACGTTATCCCAAATGTTCGAGACACTAGATCCTCAGAACTTGGTTAATGTCGTACTTTTGCAATTTTATTTTGGAAATCTGGATTCCCTGTTTTCGCACCAAGAGCCCCTATTTTCACCTTCATATTTTACTTACCACTTGGGAGGACTACAAATGTAATTAGTTCGTTGTCTCTTTCAATATTTTGCTGTCTCACTAACTCTAAAATCATCTTATAGAGTGTACACGATCGGAATACAGAATTTTCTTTGATCTTACTGTCTGTTCTGATCAGTACTCCTGTTAAACGATGTGGTTTAATGATATGAGTTGATATCTCAGTCTTTACTCGATCAAATGCAAATTTAATTTCAGAATCAAAGCCATTAGGTTCATCCAAATCTCGAAAAACAACATTCGAAGATATTTCACTATTTTTCCTGAGCAAGGCATTTTTTTTATCTTACTTTGTAGCTTCGGGGAGGTATTCTGTAACTTAAGGGATGATGAGCCTTCAGTAACGGACTCTGTATTCCTCACTGGCTGCCTCACAGATTTTCATTCCACATCGCTAAGTTTGTTAATATCGTGACTCTTTGAATAGATGACAGTTGTACTTGGGTTTTAATGTTAAGTGAATTTGTGATCACATTCAACAATAGGTGGTCCATCAACCTGATAGATTTTTTCACGCTCTCCTTAAGAGATTTCCTGTCTTTACTTTTAATGGTTGAGTTTTTATCTTGTACGAAAGTTGCACGTGCCGTACTGGAACGGTTTTTACTGTCAGTACTAGAATCTCGATTTTTTTCATTAACACGAATAACTACCATCGAGATCATCAGTGATTTTCTCAAGCAGTAAAACATAGAGTTAATGATAGTTAGAACTTGAATATCTCTTATATGTAGTGGGTGTTAGACGGGTCTAAACCATATAAAACCAATCCTTAAATTACGTAGCACTCCTTTCGCAACAAAGAAAGGAGAATTAGACTGTTCACATTGATAAATACGGTTGGCCATTATGATTAAATTTGCACAAAATTCAACTATGAGTTTCAAAGTTATTTTTAACGAAATTTGTATCAGATTTGACAGATTGTTAGAATGAGATTTAAAAAAGTACACACGACACTGGAAGATTATAGGAAATAACTTGTAGCGTGGCGTCGAGTTGAGATTAACTGTGAACACCGCTACCAAGAAACACGTGCCAAGCGAATCAGAAGGCGTAAGAAGCTCGTTCCAAATGACTCCATAAAATCCCCGAGAAGCCGAATACCAGAAGGCAATTAATGGACCAAGTCGATGTTTATTTGCTGGCGATCTCGTGGTATCGAAAGGATACCGAGATCGTGCCAGGATACAAGCTTGGTTACAGAACGTAACCGAATTCGCGCGAAGTTACAATCAAAGTGTAAGTGTAAGAATGGAAGCACAAAATAGCTGTCATTAGCACAGTCAAACAAAAGCACATTAAAACAAACGCTGGTACAGTTGGTTATAATAATAATTGTTTTTATTAAACCAGTCGTGTTCTCGTGATAAACGTGAGTCACTACAGGAGCCCCCCGCTAGAAAGGGTTTACACTTTCGATAAATAGCGGTTTGAATCGTGGGACTGATCGGCTGACGAGCGATTGTAGGACGGAAGAATTGGCGAACAGGAAAGCGATCGTTGATCGTCGAGTTGCCAACGAAGGTCGTTTTCGGAGAACAGTACCAGGAGCGATGTGTTGTATTTATTGCTCGAGTTGGCATGCTACACCAGAGTGGTTTGTATCCAGAATCTGAAGAGGGCGTTCGTAGGACTGCGCACCAGAAACGCTGCAGACGTAGGACGAAACCACGTTGAGCCAAAAGACCAGAAGCGACCGTAACGACCAAGTTCGAGACCAAGCGTGTGCCAAGCATTCGAAACCAATATATCGACTGAGTACGTTGACAAGAGCGTGGGTGGCCAATCCAGCTTTCGCCAAAGTTGACTGAAGTCGACGGAACCAAACGGAGATGGTCGAAGGCGTGGGCTCAGGAAACAAAAAGAAAATCAAAAAAGAAGAGTGTAGCATACGTGTAGTATAGGAATAATCCTACACCGTATCGGTTGTTGACTGTGCGACTATTCGCGGAAGCGTACGGGTAACCGTACTCGGCGACCGGAACGTGAGACGGCAGTCTCGTTCGCGTCGCGTGAGCCTGCAATCTCATCCGAAGTCAAGGGCGGCGTGGTCTGCTGATCTGGACGTGAGACTGTCGTCTCGTCCGTAGACGGTGCAGATGACGCGTGCTGTTGACTGGGACGTGAGAATGAGGTCTCAGATGTATCTAGCGTGGGACCTGAAGATGGTTTGAGGATCCCGCTAGTAGGTTTGCTCGGTCTAGCATTGAATCTCAGGTTGTCAGATAGAGCACTGTCATCGACGTGTGTTGGTTTGAGACGATCAATGCTGACGATCTCGACGCGTCCATATCGATCAACCTTGAAGGTCTTTTCGTGACGAGCGATCACGTGAAAAGGGCCTTCGTAAGGTTGTTGCCAAGGTTTGCGTACCGAATCTACTCGTACAAAAACATGTGAACGGGTAGATAACTCTTGAGGGAGAGCGACCTGTCGATGTTGTATTCGAGTTGACACCGGAGACAGCGTTCGCATAAATGCAGACAGTCGATGGACGTAGTCTGATTTACCGAAATCAGGTCTGCTCCGTGGTGTGAAGAATTCTCCGGGCAGACGCAATGTCGTGCCGTATACAAGTTCAGTGGCGGAACATTGGATATCTGCCTTTAAGCTCGTTCTCACCCCTAAAAGAACGAACGGTAAGGTTTCGTGCCAGTTGCCGTTTTCGTGTGCTCGTAGAACAATTTTAAGTTGGCAGTGAAACCGTTCAACCATTTGGTGCTGGGTGGTAGACGGATATGCTTATGCGTATGCATTCCGTACCAAGCAGCCGGGTCAGCGAGGAGAATCGTTAATAGGGTAACATTTCTCGAATAAAGCGTGGAATTCATCATCACGCGAATAAAAAGTGACAAGGATTCGGTACACATACGTGTGAGTCTATTATATTAATACTATTCTTATCGTCATCCGTCATGTCGAGTATATTATATATTAAATATGAAAATATACGACAGACGTGGATAGATAAATCATAGACTCACCGAATTGGCTTCTTTGGAAGATTTGACCAGAAGCTGAGGCTTGTTCCAAAATACGGGTCACCAATTGTATTCGAGTTGGGATTACCAATTGTAGCGTGGCGTCGAGTTGAGATTGACTGTGAACACCGCTACCAGGAAACACGTGCCAGATAAATCAGAAGGCGAGGGTTGGACGTAACCAAATAGATCCATAAAATCCCCGAGAAGCCGAATACCAGAAGGCAGTTAATGGACCAAGTCGATGTTTATTTGCTGGCGATCTCGTGGTATCGAAAGGATACCGAGATCGTGCCAGGATACAAGCTTGGTTACAGAACGTAACCGAATTCGCGCGAAGTTACAATCAAAGTGTAAGTGTAAGAATGGAAGCACAAAATAGCTGTCATTAGCACAGTCAAACAAAAGCACATTAAAACAAACGCTGGTACAGTTGGTTATAATAATAATTGTTTTTATTAAACCAGTCGTGTTCTCGTGATAAACGTGAGTCATTACAAACTAAAAATATACCACACGAGTAAATAATTCAAAAAAATATGAGCTATGACTGATCTTAAATGTTTCGATGTCATAAGCAGACAAAAAGAATGTTAGACCTTAACAAGTTGGAAAATCACAGGACTGTCATATCACGCACCACGATTAGGATATTTATTTTAGTGGATTATATGCCACAGAGGAGCATCTCTTACAACTTAAACATAGAACTAAAAGGAGCCAGCAATTTTCTATTACTACTTATGAAGGAGTGAATACTCACGTTATTGTCCGAAGGTTAATTGAGTGGGGGATTTCGAAGTGAGACGTTTCACTGATACACGAACTGTGGTGCTTGTTGTAAGTTGGTCGTCAATAATCACCCACTTCGTAATCACTGTGATGTATGGATTTATTTTGAAACTTAAAGGTTTATTTAACAACGAAGAATACAAGTTTCGTCAGATGAAATCCGTGATTTTGCGTACTCTTACTGAAGTCTACCCATATTAATATGCTTTAAAATGCCGAACAGATTACAACTTAGAAGTTCTAACTTGAGACATTTATCTTACCTCTGTAGAAGCCTTAACTAATTATGTCTTTTTCTGACATTGCTTCCATCTAAATGCGATGGGCTGAGGTTCCTGAGTCTAGTAGCTTAGGCAAGCTAAATTACAGGATGTCAAATTATTGCAATAAGGTAGTTCGCGGTAGCTATACCTACCAGTATTGATTCTAACCAACCTTCATAAATAGCAAATTTTAAAAAAAAAACAAGTTTTAAGGGAGTTACTCAAGGACTCAAATAAAATGTCCTTGGAATAAGGCTAAAATCCGACTTTCTCCACTGGGCTGGAATGAAACGACTCCCCAAAATTCCCATTTGAAGGTTTTAGTTTTCCTGATTAGAAATAATTTTCTAAAAAGCACTTTTCCCGTTTTCAGCTTCTTGAATCTACTAATGAATGACTCTACTTCCTTCATGACCAGTTAGGTTTTACAAGGTCTCACTATTACTTTTCGTTTTCAGTAATCATGGTGGAGTTCGTTAATGGGCGCTTTATTAACTAGCTTCTAAAAATTCATAGTTGACAGTCCGTTGGAATTCTTACATCTTTTTACAGCATTGTTGCATCAAAAACGGTTTTCCAGTTACTACTGGAATCTTTCAGTAAATTATAGGGACGACTATTATTGAAACTATTAATTCTTGAGGCAAAACGTCCCGTAGCAAGAATGTATACACTGTTAAATGTGACGATTCATTCAGTTTCCCCTGTCAGGGTTTGACAAATCAGTGTCTGAAACCAAATTTTCTAAACAGTTTTTGATTGAGATCATGAACTGATTGATGTTAGACCACCACTTTTGAAAACCTGGAAGCACTAGACGGCCGTTTCGTCCTATTGTAGGACTCCTCAGCAGTGTGCATCCACGATCCCGGACCCAGGGCCTTCGGTCTCGCGCGCGAACGCTTAACCAACTGGACCACTGAGCCAGCATCCAATGGTGATAGTGTCTAACATCAACCAATCCACAAAATTGCGCGACCAACTTCCATTGTACTGAGGTAGATACCTGTCCCACAATAGGACGAAACGGTCGTCCAGTGCTTCCAGGTTTCCAAAGGTGGTGGTCTAAAATCAATCAGTTCATGATCTCAATCAAGAACGTAATAATCTCCACAACCCCTATACTAGTTTTCTAAACAGTATTGGCGTCTTGCTATGTATTATTTCCCTTTGATTGTGACTGATATGGAACTGGACAACTTTACTTTGCTTCTGTGTACAGTAATTTCCTTAATACTTCTTTGTAGATCGCGTGGGCATTGTGAGATGGATAGAGACTCACTTCTTATGGCAGTTTCTTCTCTCCTAGATCCAACTATTGATAACGATCAGCGAAGTAAATGCTTCATGGTAATGCGGTTTTGTTGTTGTTTATAAATATACAGGTAGCTGAGAATTACAAAAATGAGCAATTCCAGTATGCTGATGTTGACTTTCTGTGTAATCCGAACCAGCCTTCTGCTATCATACTTTTTGGACTTCAGTGTTTAGATCATTACTTAAAGTATTGTCGCGTAGCATACATCCAAGTTTTAGAAATCATTGGGGTCAGATGGGGTTTCATGCGAAATCCAGCCTGAAACAAAATATTTTTAAACTTTCAAGAGAAGTACGCCTTATCTATTTCTTACTGAGTAAGATAAATAATTTTCGGTTTTCTAGAGAAGAAATGCGCGCCTTCACTCTAATGTTGAGTCAAATTATCGTTTTCCTCATCAAGTGTGAATGGCCTCAGCAATGGCCTACTATGTTACCTGAATTCCTGTCCCTTGGAAAATTAGGGGTATGTTTCTTATTAAATGATCTACTCTTATTAGATTCCCCAAACTAAATTAGTGCTGAATTCATTCTTAAGATTGTACGAAGATGTTATACAATTCCAAGATGCTCCACCATCTCGACGGCGTGATATTTTAACAGGTCTGAATGACAACTTGACCGAGATATTTGTTTTTGCACTTGATAGTATTGTCAACAGACTCCCGAATGCCGTATGTTCATTATTTACTCTACTTTCAATACAAATTAGGATTCATTCATCGACTGCGACTCACTTGACATCTGTCGTGAGTCATTATGTACATTGGGAGGGTTCCTAGAGTCATGTCGTCTAAATGTTTTGACTTCTTGGACCCCTTCAGAAATCGCTATCAAAAACCTCAACCTTAGTCGCACCTTGCCATTTCTGAGTTTAATTACTACGCTCGTTGGGATTAGAAGTTTACAAACCGATGCTCTAAGTTTGATAAATATCTTGCTATCCAGACGAATACAACCGGGATCCGAAATTCCAGATTCATATGGCCCAACTATAGCTGACAGTTTTCTGAAAGAGCCTTTGGGATCTTCATCTCCATGCAATAATCTCATAAAAGTTTTATGGTAAGTTGGCTTCATAGTTACATTGTTTTTAGTTATTTCTCGTTAAAAGTGAGCCAAAATATTCCTTGTGCTTTTTAGTTCTACATTATCCGAAAATCCCGAGTATTCTGATGAACGTTACAACTTCTTAAGGCTATTTGGTGATATTGTAGTCCATATTGGTTGTCATATGATTATCCATTGGAAGGAGTATTCATATGAATCCGCTCTCTGCAATTGCTTGGACAATGGTGTATGTGAATGTCCTAACCTACCATCACATCTCTTCCAGGCAATTTTACTTTTGACTGCCTACCCAATCCAAGTACGTTTATAGAAGTAGCATTAAAAATATTTAAATTTGTGAAGCAGTAAAAAAAATAAAATTGTCGTGTTCTCACCGTCTTTTTATGATCAACAAACATCTAATTTACGTCCCCTTTTACGTTTAGTGTTGTATAGCCGTTTACTACCAAATATTTCGTTCAGTTTATCAGTTTTTAATATTATTTTACCAATAACCGTTCCATAAATAATGCTGATTTTGTTCTAAGTAGTGTACTGTGATCTATAAATTTTGTACTGAGCTATTGTAAAACACATACAAACATATTGCGTCAGATCTGTGACCACGGTTTATACAACGTATTTAGATATTGAAGGTAACATAAATGTAACTAAACGATTAACTAAGCAAACTTTTCTATTACATATATTTTTTGCTTAGTTTCAGTCACGAATGAATACATTTAGTCTTTGGCGAAAATATAAAGCTTTCACTGTAAAAATTTAATATACTGTGTTCAATTCACTTGGTATTGTTTTACTTGAATCTTCCCATTGACGTTTTAGGACTGAAATTGATCAGTCTCTTATTGGCATATGTGCATACTGTGCGTATGCCTCGATATTGCCTTAATTTACAAGCATTATAAGCAAAGATGGATAGTGGCTAGCAGTGGAATCCAGGACGCGCGTTTCGTCCTGTTTGGGACTCGTCAGCTGGATGTACCTGCATCTCAGAGTTGATGTTCACTCTGGGACTCGAACTCAGTACCGTTCGTTTCAAACGCCATCGCGTTATCCACTTAGCTATTGAGTCCTGATAGCCACTTACTTGTGCAATGGGGTGAAGTTTAATTCACTTGGTATTGTTTTACTTGAAACGCGCGTCCTGGATTCCACTGCTAGCCACTATCCATCTTTGCTTATAATACTGTGTTCAGTTTACGTCTAATATGTCATGGCAGAGAGTTCAAGAGACCCCTGTACAGTTTAGAAGTTTCTAGTTTTAAGCGAAGTTCTTTCAAAATTTAATTGCAATCTTACAAGAATTTGGGCTTCAAATGTATGTAAAACGTTAGAAATCACGTTAAATTTATGGAAATCTTGGTTATCAAGATCCAATGCCTTCAGCTTTTCTCCTGACAGCCTGATTGGAGTTTAAAAATGGTAATCAGTGATGAGGTCGTAAACATAGCGTTTCCAAAAATTGTCTAGTCATGTTCAGATGTTGAATGGGAATGTCCGCCACTTAATATAGATTGTGATATTTGAAGTTGTGTATATTCTCATTCAAATACAGTTATCTAGTATGAACCTTGAGTTCTGATGAGAATCATACTAGTCGCCCAGAGTTACCATAAAGTCAAGTTTAACAACAAATTAAATGTATGAGAGTATGTATTGTTTGAAAGACCAATAAATAGTAGTATATGTGTGAGTGATGTTATCTCAAATGGAATCAAAGAAATGATAATTCGTTATAGTTAACTGAACTACTAAATGCATGTTGTACAGGAATAAGAGTCTTTGACATTTATCAGTGAGTATTTGATAATACGAGTTCTCCACTTTGTTTAAATCTTAGTTCAGCTATAAATCCATCTTTTATGAAAATGGTCTATTAATATTAGAAAAGAGAAATTTCAAGTTCTTGGAGGATTTTGGAATTGTAATTAAGCTTGTTATGTTCTTTATTATGACTTCTAACATCGGTACGCACGAGTCTATATAAACAGTGTTTCTGTATTTTCTCATGTACAGTATATTTTTCTATACGTGCTTTTGTGTAATGTTTGACTTTTTGGTACCAGGTGATATCAGCGTGCACTAACAAATTTTGGATCACCGTTCTTCGTTCAGACGAAAAATCTCTACTAAAGTTAACTGAAAGGTTTGCGGATGATTTATTTAGCATTTGGCGAAAGAATTCATTAAAAGTGAGTCATTCAGTGACTAAATCATATTAGCTAAGTCGGGTTTTATTGGAGAGTATTTATAAATAGTCTATAAAATTCAGTTCATTAATTGCACCAACAAACTTGTTAACTAATGTAAAAATTACTAAAACAAGTTGAACTAAAATAAAAGGTATCCTGAGCTTTTGTTTGTTTATTTAGTAGGTTCATCCAAAATCGAAAGAAAACTGTACTGTAAAATCCTTAGTTTCATTATTTTCATAAGACCGTTAGTGGTTGGCTGTTCTATTAAAATCGACATGCGCGGGTCTAAAAAGTATTTGTGACTAATTTTCATGGGTTTGAAATATGCCATTATGACTTTACTTCAGTTTGATCCACCCGCAAAACGACTAAACCTTACGGAGTTACATTAAGTCAATCCTTATCAGAAGTGATATGACTGCAAAGACCTTTCAGGTTCATTGGTAATAGTTGATAATCTGACATAGGAAAAAGTAAGTTTTCTTCAACACAATCTTCTCTTAGTTCGTTTGACACTTTGGATAGGACATTCAGTTGTTAATATTCTCAAGCGATCACAGTAAACTTTCTCTTGGAGAGCTTTCACTTTAATCTTAGCTTGTTTCCATAACGCGAGACTTGGTGTGATTATTAAAACAAATTAATGGTGAAAGTATCATTTTCGAAAACAGTCACTTCATTAATATGACTCATCAAACTAATTAGTCATAGGTGAAATTTATATTCATATGAAGCCGATAACAGTATCTTATCGATAAGTTATACACACGTAGCGTTGGTAGTCAATCTACATTTGAAAGTTGTTTCAACAGTTCATTTACAAAATACGGTAAATGCGTATACTTATACTAATTGTTTACCACAATGGCTACTATATTTTATTGCTAATTTGTTAGGTTGGTCAACCATCTGGTACTGGTATTCAAAGTGAGTGGAACCGAAGAATTTTCGAAACCGATGATCATACTAGTTTTTTCTCTCGTAAGTTGAAACTAATCACTATTGTAAAGAAAATGAATTAGCTGATATAATTTCGAGAACTTCACTATTGCTACCATTTTCTAAATTTTGTCCTACAATGATTATTTAGTTGTGAAAATACTATTAAATAAATTATTGTTTTAAGGCAAATAATTTAATCCACCAAGTAATTGGATATTCTTGCGCTTTAGTTTACTGTATTTAGTTCTAAGTAAAGAAAAAATGTCTAGATTGCAATGGCACTGTTTTACTGGTTATAGTATGACTTACCTTCTTGACCAACAGGAAAAAGCATTGATTTAATTTCAATCTCAGTTTCCTTAATGCTTCTCAATCATTGAACTACAATGTTAAGTAGATAACATTCTTCGTCATTTATAGCAAACCAACATCAAGACCATACTGTTTTTATCGTTCGGCAGTTAACTAACAAGCGGACACAACATAGGTCTTAGTATGATAATCCATCAATGAAGACCATACTTTTCACCAGCTTATCACTGGATATTTAGGAAAGGGAAATATAATTTATAAATGAACAGGAAACTATATATATGGTAGTATTACGTACATAATTTTGAAAGATGGTAGAGAACATACTCCTATCTGGACCATTTCCACGTCACTTGTTACATACATTCTTTCTTGTCCCTGAATTTATTGGCTAACATCTGCCTCTAACTTATTATTCGAAAATAACACCAGAACACTCTAAACACTAGAAATAACCCAATCATGTTGTACCACAAATTTTCCAAAATTTAAAAAGTTTTATATTCAATTTAAATATATTAGTTGAAAAAAATATAGCGTTCTGCTTAGAAAGTGGCGATTTCATCTAGAAAACTTCCGTGTGACTAATATTATTAATAAAATGTATACTTGAAATCCTAAACTAACATTTAACTGCTAGTTATGTGTTCAATTATCTTTTCGTACCTCTTGCGATATTCTAATGACTTCCGTCATTCACTTGTTGTCATCTATGAATTGGGTCTTGCATAACTGATTATTGATTCGTTCCTCTGTACTTCATTCCAAGCAGTTATAGGGAAATATCAAAATGAATTTAGCTAAGTAATAATGAATTATCTTATCTGAGTGGTTAGTCGTTCATGCATAAATGTCTTACACTTCAGCCTAAGAGCGCTCCAACTGATGATTGTTGGCTTTTCACAACCTCATTCGCATTTATGCAGCTTCACCAAACTCAGTGTTAGTGCCCAATATCATAACCTGGTCAGTTGCCGTATATGCACAGATTTAGTGATGCTTGTATGTAGTTTCGCAAACTTGGAACTTGAAGTGGTATTGTGGTGTGAGCTACTTATATTCACAAGTAGTATATAACGGTGGCCAGGCATAGAATGTATTTCAGTAGAAGATCGATAATGAAAGAACGGAAACGGGACGCAATTGGTATGGAAACGCATGAACAATGAAACCTGAGACAATGGACACCAACATTTGGAAAAGGAACAGTCAAGTTTGAGACTACGGATTGATATTTTGCAAATTTTAGTGAGATGCTCTGTAATTTCGTGTCAAATGCATTCGATTGTCCCCACTCGTGTTCTTGTTCACTACAGTATCTGTTGAACTATGATAAATATTACAAGGAGATTCCATCCCTATTGGCTTATTTATTAAACTACTGAGATCTCTCCGGGATATGAATTCCCAACTATTTTAGCAAAATGTCATTGATTCCTAAAACAGTTAAAAATTCTTAGTGCTATGAGAGAAACTATTATGTGGATGTATTGTAGTATGGTTTTCTTCCAGCTATACATATATTTCTGTCGTCCAACATAAACGTTTTTATTTGTGTAAGTTTTATTCAATTTTGTTAGTCAAACGTCTCATCGATCCAGAAACTTGACTTACAACTATTAAGTTATGATAATGAAGACAGAAATATATTTGCAATATCCCAATGGGTAGAAAACTGGATTTTTGACATTTCGTGAATGAGTGTATTTCTTCATAAACTTTGTAACTACTTTTTCAGTTTAATTCAGTGAACAAATTAGGTTAAACATTTATTACATACAAACAATTCTGATCATACTAACGTCATTTTATTTGGAGCAACGAGGATTCTATGCGAAACATGTTTTTATATGTGTTTGAGTGGGTGTATAGATGACAGTAGTGTAATCCATGTGTTTTTTGTGTGATCGTAAACAGATTACATATGAGTTGTGGTTTGAAAGTTACCTAACTTACTTTGTTGCGGTCTGCTAAGTAGTTTTTCTAGCTTCTATGTAATTAATACGATTCCCATCTTTACATCAGTACCCATAGACTGACTTTTAAATGCTTATTTATGAATAATCATATATAAAGAGCACAACTATGTTTTCAAATTAACATTTATCCTCCAAAAGGTCCTAATAAACTTCGAAAGTATGGTGTAGCCAAATTAAATATCTGAAATTAATTTTATGGTATTTGTTCACTTATTTCTTTTCAGGATACCGAAGTGATTTAGTGAAGTGTTTGTCAGCTGGAGCGTCTTGCTGGCCACAAAAAGTTTTACTTTTGTGTATATCATGGATTGAAACACTAATCCAAGCATCTCCTTCCTGTCAAGGTATTTTAAACAGATATAATCAATAAATTTGCTTTGTATTAACATTTTGACGTAAATTATTAATTTTGGGTGGATTACGGGATGTTTCTCTCTCTTTCTTCTATCCGGTTTATCAAACCTCCCGTTTCGTAGTGTATTTTCGTGTTTTTTGTTATCTTTTCCAGATTATGATCCAATTACTAAATTCCTGTTAGCGACTTCACCACTTATACTCGAATGGGAAGCTTTAGATTCGTTTCTAGAACCATGTCTATCAGCTGTTGAACAATCATTGGAGGCTCTTCATATTGATATGGATGTTAGTTCAAAAGTAAAAAATTTGATTCATGGGATTTTACAATCTTCAAATAGTATGGATCCACTCCTTCGTGCTAAGCATCTAGCTTGTTTATCAATGCTATTACAACATGTTGATTCAAATAATGATTCAGAACTTCTGGTACCCTTTTTAAATAAGGTAATTTTTGTCGTTATTGTTAATGCTTAACGTTTCTATTATTGCTACCTAGACTCACCTACATAGAATGTTCCACTACTAGTTCAACGTCTATTATGCCGAAACCTTTATGCTGAAAGTAATTAAATATGTAAATTCATTCTTATGCAAGTAGATTTTATTTGTATATAGATTTATACATTTAGACAGTTTAGCAACCTGTGAGACCAAATTTTTGTTGTTTTTTTTTGAAGAAAAAAAACGCTGAAAGAGACTAAAGACACGTATGTACTCTTATTTGTTTTCATTTCTGATTTATCTGATGAGAATATTCCCAAAAACGATAAAATTGTTCCAGACACTCAAAGTAGAAGAATGTAGTTGGGGAGAGTAAATCAGGAACTAACGAGGTATTTATTAGTTTATGATACCTACCGAACTTCAAATAATTTATAATTATTCCGTTCGTGGTAGATATGAATACCATAAGTTTTATCTGTTAGACTTTACACATAAGTCCATATCCTTAAGTAGGAGGAACCTTATTTTATGTAGACTGGGAATTACTACTTAATTTTGTGTCCTATATCGTTAATTTCAATATTAAATCGTTGACTGTGAACTTCATACCAGTGATGTCTATCATATCTTTGCAACACTGCTTTCATTAAAATAGAATACTAATCAGTGTTTTTCTGAGAGCAATTTAGCGATTTTTTATTGGCCTAAAATTTATTCCTAATTAATGAAATGCTGACCAATAATATGATGGTATATGTTGTGGGAGCTTATCTTTCATCTAACTGGGCTTGATTATTGAAGGTATTTCAACTCGTAATACTTAAGGATTGTGTTTTATGTAGCAGTTTAGTCTGAGATGTTGCTTATATGTCTTACGAATTACCTTCTTTTAATTATGTTCTAGATTTTTGAATCTTTAAACTGTTGTCCTGTTGTGGATGAATCTCCATCTTTAATCGATACACTTGATTTTGTAAATAGACCACGGCAAGTTAAAACTATGCACTTAGCATCTGCAACATCATTTCTTCGTTTCACTCGTGCTCGTCCTATAAGAATGATGGTACGTTCCATACTTCTTTTACGAAATGATCTAATTGTATGATTTTTATTAAGAATTTGTTTCTTTTTTTCTGTCGCTCAGATATTTTAAAGTAGAATAATAATTATTTGACACAATACCGGCAGAACAAAAATGATCGATCTGATTGTGTTAAACACAGCCCTTGCCAACGTTTGGTGACGTATTATCAGTTATTCCTACAAAATTAAGTATATTATTGTTAAGATTTTCCTACACGACGCAGCTACTCTCATTGTTTACTATTCTTAGGACATGTTACTTCACTCGACTAGTCCCCAAAATCAGAACACGGTTGAGCAGGAACAAAATTATGTTTCAAACAAACAAAGTTGAATGAGAGCAAGGTTCACAGTAAGAAAAATGTTAGTATATTTATAAATGTATACGCGAAGATTCTAGAGTCTACAATTATCGGCTAGCTGTGATTGGCTAAGAAATGGTTAGTCAGCGTGCTCTAACACAGTCAGTCAGTAACAACGTAGAACTTCGTACGTACGTACGTACATAAGTTCGAGTTGCCATACCACATTAGCACACAAATACAATTGTCGATTCAAATCCCGTAGTGGTAAAGGTAGTCAGAGTATAAGCCGTACTCGGAAAGATTAAGGTTTGAAGATGTTATTCAAGGAGTATAATTCAGTGAAACAAATTTGGAAAGAGAAAGAAAGAACATGAAGAATTCAGAAGATTAGAATTTGGAAGAACACAGAGAGGATGCATCTGCGCCATTGCAAACGATTTTGAGCCATGTCATTCAGGGTCTCTAACCATCGGTCACTATCATCTCGCGGTCCCCATCCAGGTAGTCTTCACCTACCAACATGACTCAGTTTACTTGTCAGTGACTTCATGGGTTTTTGCCATGTTCTGGTCTGACCGCCCCTAGCTTTCTTCCAACCTACTCCTACACCGTAAAACATAGCACGTCGAGGCAGTCGGTCGTTGGGCATACGTAGCACATGTTCCAGCCAACTCAACTGATGAAGTTTTACTATTTCAATTGATTTACCATCCTTACCTAGTACCCGTTTCCTAACAACTGTTTTACTTACTCGATGGTCCCAGGATGTACGAGCTATGTTTCGAAGACACCTATGGTCGAATACTAGTAACCTACGAATATCCTTTACTCTCACCGTCCATGTTTTACTGCCATAAAGAAGGATGGAACGAACTGCTGCGCAGGAAACCCGTCCTTTGGTTAGTAGACGGATATCTCGCCTACTCCATAAATGACGCAAGTTGGCAAAAGCTAGTCGAGCCTTCTGTATCCGTGCTGAGATTTCGTCACACACCAGACCACAAGGGTTGATGAGACTTCCAAGATATGTCAAGCGGTCGACACGCTCAACTACTTCACTCCCTATCATTAGTTTGGGTGTCGATGCAACCCAATCCTGAAGCAACATTTTGCATTTGGAGGGGGAGAATCGCATCCCGAACATGCTTGCATTGTTGCTTAGAGTGGTCAGAAGACTCTGCATTTTGTCAGCGTCTTCACCAAATAGAACTATGTCGTTGGCATATTCTAGGTCAGAAAGTGAATCTCGGTAGAAGTTCAACCCCTGGAAATCTAGACGAGGAAAGTGTTGTCTCTAAAAGTACGTCAACGACAAAGTTAAACAAGAATGGAGAGAGTGGGCAGCCATGACGAACACCACTTGAGGTAATCAATTCTGATGACAGTTCGCCATAAGCTCTCACTCTACCAGTTGTTTTCGAGTAGAGAGCCTTTATAAGGTTAATGTACTTCTTTGGTACTCCTTTCAGTGACAAACACTGCCATAGAACTTTAAGATCAACAGAGTCGAATGCCGCCTTAAGGTCGAGAAATACTACCATTGTGGGGCGTCTGAATGTGTGTCTGTGTTCCAGAAACTGACATAGTATGAATATCTGATTTATACAACCACGTCCAGGTCGAAAACCAGCCTGATTTTCTCTAGTCTGTTCTTTACGAGCTTTGGTTAGGCGTCGAAGTATTATTGGAGCTAATATTTTAGACACTATATTAGTCAAACTGATTCCTCTGTGATTGTCACAAGAGGACTTTTGTCCATTCTTATAGACTGGCACAATCAGTGATTGAGACCAGTCAGATGGGATTACGTCAAGTTCCCAAATTCTACCTAAGACCTCAGTTAATCTCACTGATAATACTGAACCACTATCCTTGAAAATCTCAGGAGTAAAAATGTCAGGGCCTACTGCTCTTCCTCGCTTCAGATTTCCGATAGCTTTTTCAACTTCATAAAGAGTCGGAGGACCTAAATTAACTTGCCATTCAGGTTGACTGGAGATGGTGGGAAACCGAAGTGTGGCTCAAGGCCAGTTGAACTGATCCCTAAAGTGTTCTGCCCATCGATCCAATTTCCTAGATTGAGAATGATTAGTATGTCCATCTTTCCCTGAGAGTGTTTCGCTAACAGTCGGTTTCCTTAACAAGTCTGAACAATTGTCTGCTATTACCTATTGCCGCTGCCTTTTCCATCTCTCTTGCTTTCGCTACCCACCACTGTTCGCGATCATTGCGTAGACTTCTTGTCAGCTTGCGCTTAAGCTGACTCCGCTCTTCATTATGTTTAGAGCCAGGTGGAATGAGTTTCTGAGCATCTATCAGTGCGATAGATGCTGCTGAGATCCAGTGTTGCTCCCTAACCTTGTGGTTTACCTTACTAGCAGATATCACTGCTGTTTCCACAGCCTTTCGGATATCATTCCATGCTGCCTTGGGGTAGTCATCACCTACTTGGCTGCCTAACTGTTTTTCTAGTTTTTCCTGAAATATACTCTTAGCTTGACTATCATTAAGTAGGGCCCTAAGAGGTTTCCTTGCAGGATCTTTCCTACGTCCAGTAAGACGCAAGCAAATACGCGCTCGCACTAGAGCATGATCTGAATCTAGGCATGTGTTCCAGAATGAACGACAGTCTTCTATCGAGCCCCTCCATCGGTGGCTGATAGCGATGTGATCTATTTGGGTCCAACGTTGGGACGAATTAGGGGGTCGCCATGTTAAAAGATGTTTTTCCTTATGCTTAAAGTTAGTATTTGCAAGGAACAGGCAGTTATCTGAGCATTGCTGCAACAGACGGTCGCCATTATCTGTTCTTTGAGCCACGACACCATAGGATCCACCCAGGTGTCTTTCCCTATCGCTTAGTTTACCTACTTGAGCATTAAAGTCACCGGCCACTATTACTACATCCGAGCGCCTAACTTTTAGGAGAAGGTCGGAGAGCTTTCTGTAAAACTCATCTTTTACATCATCTGAGCTGCAGTCAGTGGGAGAATAGGCAGAGACGACGAAGAGGCAACGACGAGTGTCCCTATCTTTCCGGATCCTTACTGTCCCGTTCAGTCGGACAGCGCACAAACGACTGTCTACTGGGATCCAGTTTAAGAGAGCTAGTTCTGCCCTAGGACTCAATGTTATACCTACGCCGGCGAGTCCACGAGAAGCAGCATCTGGGCTTCCATATACACGAAGTGCGAATCGAGTTGGTTCTTTATTTTGACATAGTTATGTCAAATGAATGACGCTATTCGGATCCTGTTTGCGCGTTTCGGAGACGCAACACACATCGATGGTGCGAGATTCTAAAGTCCTAGCTAAGGAAGCTTGTTGTCCTATTTGGCACAGTGTTCGGACATTATAAACTCCAACATGAAGTTTAGAGCGTGGTTTCAGGAGACCAGGAATAACGTTCCGCGTACTCGAATCGTTTGCCCTAGCGGTGCGATGTGATAAACGGACGTGAGAAGGGTTAGTCATGGAGATAAGAGAGGTATTAGGAGGTGTAGGAAGGATTTGAATATGACCAACTTGGTCTCATGTGCTGTTACGGGTATGAGGGCTGATGTCACTTTTCCGGCTGCCCACACCGTGGAAGGGTATTTCTTGAGGAACCTGAAAAGGAAGTCAAATTAATGTCGACCTTCACAACCTGGAAGCGTGATCGCAGAGCTCAAGGGACAACTGCTTGAGGCCGGTCGCGCACGGCCTTTTTGTGGGAGGTTTTTGACGTGTTTTCTCCGTTCTTCAAAGGGCCTTACCGCCGGAGACGGAAATCCGTGAGGTAAGGTGAGGTGTGACACTTTTGCGGTCGATATTTTCTAACCTCTTCCTTCCTTGTGAGAAGGCAGCATCGCTGCAGATGCTGGTTGTCTAAAGGAAACACCTTACTGCTGTCACACCCCTCTATAGTCAGCAGTACAACTTCTCCCCCAGACCTTGAGTTGCTGATTTTAGTCTTACCGTTCTCCAATCGACCTGCCTGGCATGGTAGAACCTACAGGGCATATGTTCCAGTCAATATAGCTTGGTTGCTTCATCACGATAGGCAAGCCCGACCACCGCGTCAAGGTAGCAGCTACGGTCGGGACTTTAACACAATTCTGAACGAAGCACGCTTTAATCTAGTCTATAGCCCACTCACGGTTATGATTTACATCAACAAATATATTTGATATTTTGATTACCAACAAGCAAGATTTCGTGATCTTTTTATATCTTATAGTGAATATTAATTATGGGGGCTTATACAACCCTGGTTGACGGATTTTCTTTATGTTTATGTAGTTTACTGAAAATTGATTTTGTCATAATAATTAGTTTATCTACATTACTGTCGAATAATCATATATTGACTGTTTATATGTTAGATTATCGTGGAAAGTTTTAATTATCCTTTTGATTTTAGTATTTCATTTGTTTTTGTAGCCTTATTTTGATAAAATATTAAATGAAATAAATAAACTTTGGATGGAGAAAATTTGTGGAAGTATGGAGAAAGGTATTCTTTTAGAAGCTTTAGTGATACTTGGGTAAGTGGCGAGTGTCTCATGTACCATTGAGATATATTTATTTGTTGTTGTTACAGATTTTCTTGATCTGTCGTCCTAATTGATGTATTTTCTTGTTTAAGCTTTCGTGTTCCTCAGCCAATCAATGTACAGTTCAATTTTCTTCAAAGTTTACTTGCCAATGTTTATGGTCCATGGTGTGGTCAAGATCCTTACAACGTGACACCACTTTCAGAACTATTGCGCTCATGTGAATCTGGGGCACCTGGTTTAGTCGCAGTTTTAGGCCTTGATAAACCTTCTGACCAATTGGGGAACTTTGAATCTCCATATGTTCAAACCCGGATAAATTTGAACCACAATGTTCGTTCGTTATTGGCTGTTTGTAGACGCCTCGCAGAACCGTGCAATAATCAGCAGGTATTTCGATATCTGTATATCACATCAGAGTTCCACAAACCTGTATATTTTGAGATTACTTATGAATCACTCGTAGTAATAATTAGCAGTATACGAGGCTTTTATAATTCGTATACTCTCGAAAGACCCAACTGGTTCAGTGGTATAAGAATAATTCAATAAAAAGTCGCTGTTTGGTGGTGGCGTATGATACTATCCTGGTGTGTAAACTTTGTTAGGTGAAATGTGATTTAAGGCCATGAACCTATGTTTAAAAGTTGTTTCAAACAATATGAATAGTTTATCAAACCACATTTTATTAATAATATTTACATATACAATATTGACACGCATTTACAGAGCAAAAGTGTATATACTGAACTTCATACTGCGGTATATGTAGTGGCTGATGATGCCGTCTTGTTGCTTAAACCGAGGTCGATAATATGATGTTCGGACCTTCAAACTACCGGTTGAAAGTCGAGCACTTCAACCACTTGGTATTCTACTATTTATTCATCATACTCATCTTGAAATCCGTTGAAGCTCTAGTTAAAATTTAGATATTCTCAATGTATAAAAATATTCATTTCTTTTCGGTATCACTTTATAAGCTGGTATTCAGTCGATTCAGTTTACCCCTATAGAGCAATGTTTAAGAAGCGCAAATGAAAAAGAATTTGTCCTGAGCAATCAATTATTAGAAAGTGTAAAGATAAGCCAAATTCACAAGCGATATCGAAATCAGTTTACCTAAATACTATTTATTCGAAAGTAATGAGTGATCACTGTTTTTATAGTTTCAATCTATTCATCTTTTTGCTACTTTTGGCTGCACATTGATGGTACTTTGATCCTACTCTTTTAAACTAGTTCATACATCATTTATCCAACACAAAGTACTGCTTTATCATGTTCTTCTTGTCAACTTAGTAGTACACAGCGAAATATCTTTGTGCCTTGGAACATCAACAAGTGCACCACACCTTAGCAGTAATCTATCACAATAATAAAATGTAACGGTTTGTATAGGGCTGTCGTAGGTGTTATTAGGTTCGTTAATTGTCTCCTAACTCAAAATAAGTTGATACATGAAATTCCTTCAAACTCAATTGTTTCATATATATGAAGGTTCAAAGTACCATGTACACTAATTATTGTTAAATCCAGTATAATTATCTAAGGCCGTCATCATCACTATTTTGTTTCATTTACCCAGCTTGAAAATATTTCACTACCCATCTTGGAACCCGTTTTATCACCAGTTCTACATGTTCTTCGGTAAGTACCATCATAAATTGTCTTTTTGGTCTTTTATAGGTAATTCATCAATATTTGTGAATATGTTCATTCACAATTAATTTTAATTCGTATTTACTGAATTGTTTTGTAACTTAGAGCATTTAACGAACTTTGGTTACCGGAAACACTGAAACTAGTTCATCCAACTTTACTTCCTGTATTACAACATACAGATGAAATTCAACTATGTTTACTGAATTCTCAATTTCAAAATATACTCAAAGTAAGTAGTGATGTAAAATAAAAAAACATATATTCCCTTGTAATTAGTCGTACTTATTATTTTGTCAGACGGTGGCTGAGTATCTGTATTTCCTTGTTCACAGAATATTTAACACTATTTACGCTTTTTGTTTGCTAAAAGGTTAAATAAACAGTTATATTGAAAGGAGAACTATGTGTATGAAACAGTTATATAATAAAAATGGTAAAATAAAATTAAACCAAGCAATTTTCGTCTTTAAAATGATTTACGAGTTGATTTTGTATTCATATGAAGTTGGACTAAGCGAATTGAGATTGTTATGTATGTTTATCACTCCACTTAACTAAATAGTTGCATTGATATTAGTTAAACGACTAGAAAGCAGAAAATGTACAGTGTTCTCACAAAATGGTTACACTTCGTATCCAGGTGTGACTATTTGCTTGACCATTAGAGAAAAAGCGTTTGACAAGCGTATGGACACTACTATTGGGAACCTTATGAAACAGCAAAAGATTTACATCCAAAAACGGCTACACTATTATTGCCCACAAAATTAGGTGAGATATGGCGTGAATTCACTCCTTGGTAGTTGATTTATTCGTTCCCTAAACAGTAAATATCTTAGATATTATAAAACCAATTATTAATCTCTAGCTTCAGTGGGTTACTGTTGTAGTATACTGCAGAGATAGCTGAATGTGGAGTTTCAGGGACTGGTTTTAGTTCGCCGACTGCCCATAAAAGAATGTTTTACTAATAATATTATCCGTTATTCTACCTGAAGAAACCTTGTTCTTATAGATCGAATCACAGACTGACTTTAGGTCGACTACCACTCTAAGCCAGAAAGCACTGGGAAGCTCTTTCGTTTTCGTGTGGAACACTTTAACAGTGCGCATTCACAGCTCCGGCGTCAGATACTGAACTCATGACCTTCGGTCTCGTATGCGAACGCCTAACCTCTAGACCACTAAACTGGAATCCAGAAGTATACATTTTCGAAGGTCTTCGTTCGGTCCTCGATTGCGGGGTTATAAATGAGCACTGATGAGGTGTTTCGTATCAGGACGAATCAGTTTTCTAGTACTTCTTGGTTTTCAATCATGATCCAGCTAATATCGTTTCGTAATTTAATCTATGAAAATGTAACAAACTCCACAAAACCCTCATACTATATCCCGTTCTGTATGTATTTATTATCTGTTTATTGTTTTTAATAGTCTGTAGATGTTACGAATCCTTCGTTACACCGATTGCGCACTTTTCTCAATGACTGTCATGAGAACTTAATGGGGATAGTTGGCTTTTTATTTGTTTCGTTGGGGTCGAAATTCTATCGTTTACCAACCGAACAGTTAAGAATTGCATTGCACGATGGTTGCTGTGCTGCATTTGAACATTTGCCTGACCTCAAGCTAAATAGTCTTCTACGTATCCTTTAAAAATACTGCATTATTCTTATTCTTCTTCTTCTTATTATTATTAAGTTCGATATGAAAATATCATTGCTCAATAAAACCACTTTGGGATCACAATTCTTTACCATCATCCGAGCTTCAAATATGCGAATGAAAAGCTATAATTGATAAAGTAACTAATATTTATCCCATATACAAAGAATTTATACCTCTTAAAGTGTTTTGTGGTATTATATTGTCACAAACAGCTGCGATAGTTCATCCATATTAATAATTTTCCAGTTATTGAGACTGTCAGTTGATTATTAATGTTAAATTTTATCAATGACATGTATGGCTAACACATGCTAAAAAGAATATGCTTTCATTTAATGCTACCTATATGGTATAATTGTTTAAATTCATCCTACTTAATGCACTAAAATCTTCAAATGCCCTCAGCCTATATTTTTCTTAACTGTCGTCAATTAACCTAGGATCTATTCTTCGTCCATTTATCCGTCAGTGTCCTAGACAGTATTTTGAAACTGCCATCGCTCCCTTGGTCCCACCAGTAATTGAAGCTGCTATTAAGGTAGGATCATTACTATCCTCATGTTCTCACAGGATTATGCACATCTCAGACATGATTAGACGGATCATTCACGAAATCACCTCCATTTATTTAATTGCTTTTTGGATAAAAACATCATGCTAAGCATAAAGTATGTACTTCGTGTAATAAACCTATGACGTAAATAGGTAAAACTGGTAGACTGACCGTTTAGATCATTGAATTCTGGATTATTAGTTTAAGCACACTGTATTTGACATAAGTTCGTTATTGTGTAGGATTGTGCACATATGTGTGTTAACTGCTTAGAAGCCTTAAAAAGCTATGACCAAATAACTGTGCCACCCTAATTCTTCAGCCGATATCTGTCTTTAGTGTAAACTACTTTCAAATAAAATTTCCGATTGCATTTGTCATAGAAAGTTTTAAGGATTCATTTTATTTCATTTCATTGAGATTTTCAACTTTACCGCTTTGAATGATCATAACCAAGCTTTAATTTGGATATATTTAAGGGAGGAGAGATTAAATACAATTTTTTAGTTAATCGTAAAGTTTCAAGATAACTCGTCATATCCAAGTTAAATTGGCAGTAAAAAAGTGAGTGTAGTAATGTAGTTGAATGTTTCACTAAAATGCAATCACTTATTCTCATACTGACGTAAAGGTTGTGTTTACCTGAATTGATAAGTTGTGACATTTTATTCTCGTAAGAGCTTCTCTAAGCCCATAATTTTTCAACCAAATTCTCAAAGATTTTAAATTTTAGCGTGCTATAATTAACTTATACTTTAGAGTAAACATATAATAATAATTCTTTCTTCAAAAAGTTTATTATCAAGTAAAACTCAAACCTTGTTATTACATATCAGTGAGCGCATGTTTCAGGTTTTAATTGTGCTTTGTATATAATATTTGTATGAAAGAGATCAGTTCCAGCTATCAGTAGAATCCACTGCGCGCGTTCCATATTATTTGGGATTCATCAACAAAATGTACCTTCACCGCAGTGATGTTTATCACAGCTGACGAATCTCAAAAAGAACGAAGCATACACTTTGGATTCTATTAACTGCCCTTGATCTCTTCCGTAAAACCTTGCGGGAAATTTCTTTGTTAAGGCTATCTGAACAAGCTGCTTATATCCTAATTAAGGCTGATCAAAATTAAGTCAACAATATGACTAACGGGGTAATCTTAATCTATCATAATAATGATATTTGTATACAATGATTTAAGCAACTGAATTGTTTCGTCTGGATTTTTCATGAACCTGTTAGTACTATATATCCAGTTAACTGTAAACTAACATAGCTATATAAATTTCTCATAATGATTTGATTTCGATTTTTTTAGAGAACTGAAGCAAGATGGAATGAATTAATCATGGCCGAGTATGTTTACGTATTCTCACAATCTAATGTAAAATATTATATAACTATGATGACAGAATATGAATTTTTATTACTTATGTGTACAATTCCTGTTTCTTTATTCAGACATTCATGTTTGTTCTGATTATATTTCAGCTTAATTCATTTAATGAAAATTAAAATTCAAAAACCTACGAATGAACTTGTTTTATAGACTACATATGATCTACTTGTGAATAAATGAAAATAGCCCAAAATGGTCTTAGAAATCTGCGTAACGCAATTTTGTAAAATGGGAAAAATTAAAATTATTTGTACGTTCTTGACTACAGACACAAAACAAAGACACCGTTTTAGACAAAATTTCTACCTTATAAGTTAACTTTATTAGGGTATTCTCATCATTCATGACATTGACGACGAGAAAACGTTTATGACTCTTGTTGGATCAACTAGCATATCTCTGTATAAATGAGTAAAATGTTGCTTTTTAGTCTGTTTCAATGAATCACTCTTTGAATGGTTAATAGGTAGGATACTGACCACGAGAGTTTTGTTTTTTAAAAAATCACGACGAGAAGATTTTTCTTCAATTAATTGTCACGAGAGATCTTAATTTATGACAATTGGAAATTGTTCTTTTTCATGAACCCGCAGCTAGATCACCCCTGATATTCACGTTTTTTGTCGACTATTTTGTGGTTACATCAGTGTGATGTAGGACATTTAATTCGTTAATTTATCTTGAATCCTAGTCATGTTCCACATTTAATCAATGAGATGAATAATTTTTTGTTGAACAATACCAAAATCGATTTAAAAATATAATTTTTATCTTAAATTGTTTACTTTTCAGAGGACGTATCTGTGATGACGAAAAAGCAGTTGCAGCTGAACTTGTACTAGACAGATCAACTCGTCTCTTAAGTCGAACGTGTTTGGATATATTGCGTAAGCTATTGATTTTTACCATCTTTAGTGGGGCCATACATTTAGACGTCAATTAGATTGGACGATGTTGTCGATGGGCTTACCACTTTTGTGGCCCCATATCTGACTCCAGTTATATCGTATGAATGTCTTGAGCGTTGTTAGAAGTTATCACTTTCCGGTTGCCCACACCGTGTAAGGGTTGTTCTGGAGGTACCTGAAGAGGGAATTGAATTAGAGGTGGTCTTAGTAACCTGGGAGCGTGACCGCAGTGTCCAAGGGACAACTGCTTGAGGTCGGTCACACACGACCTTTTTATGGATAATTTTTGTGTTAGCCCCGTACTTGTTGAGATCTTACCGCCGGAGACGGATATCCGTGGGATAAGGCGAGGTGTGCATTTTTAGGGTCGACCTTTTCTAACCCCACCCCTCCTTGTGGGAAGGCAGCATCGCTGTCATGCTGGTTGTCTGAAGGAAACACCTTCCTACTGTCACACCTCTGTACAGTCAGCAGTACAACTTCGCCTTCGGACCTTGGGTTTGTTGCTTTTAGTCTTACCGCTCTTCAACCGACATTGAGGAATTTAAGGAACGGTTGTTCCAGCCAGTAAAGTTTGTTTGCTTCATCACGATAGGCAAGCCCGACATCACGTCAAGGTAGTAACAACGGTCGGGACACAATTAAATATGAATGGTTGTCGTCGGAATATATATGTCGCCTATCCTCCTATATAACTATCGACTTAAATCGCCTTAGTGAATAACTGAATTAAATAAGCCGAATACAAGAATGGATTTCGAATACGTATATTTTGTACACTCACTGATCTGAACAGACAATCAGCGGGACGAAGCAAAGAGAATAGAGTAAAGCGAAATGACGCGCGACGGAAAAGGCGTGTTAGCCAACTCTATTTGGTCAAGCGTTAATCAATATTTATAGTCGCACAAAAATAAGCTACAAACATGTGGTGACTAGGATAAGATGTACACACACAATACTCATATAAAGAGCATTCAAAGTTGGTAAGTGAGTAATTAACAAGGTCAAAAAGTGACTCAAGAAGAATGGATAAATTGGCCTGTCCAGAAGTTAGAATCAGTTACATGTGCTTGACATATTAACTGACACTACACATCAGCCAATTGAATGTTTGTTGTTACATTATTAACCATTTATTCATAACACCTTAGAATTGTTTAATATTTAATAAAATCATATAGTTCATACTATTAACATATAAGTTCTTGTGTGTTTTAATGTTTTTCTATTTGTCTCTTCAACAATATTCTCCCTTTACTTCGATAACACATAGTTAATCGTTTTGGACGAAGTTTTTAAATTTAATACACTTACTCTCGCGTATTTCTTTTAATAGACAAGTTAAACTAGTATATAGCTTAAGATCGTATATATTAAGCATATAAACTCTAACTTCCATTTTTCATTTCTTTAACCTGTAAAAGACAACCTAGAAAATCATATTTTTATCTATTATGTTAATTTATTATAAGCTTGTTTCTTTTCCATGATCATTTTTATATATTTACCTATTCATTTATTAAGTCTAGATGCTAGTGATATAATATCTAGTATTAAAAAAGGGATTTTATGGTTTACCTTTCTTCAGTTTATAAATCTTTAAGTTGAATATATCAACATCTGACGTTGAAGAATAAATTATTTCAGGGTAGTAAAACCATTTAAAAATATACCACTAATCCGTGTGTTTTCAACACCTGTTTCTTGGTAAATAGGACTCTTTTATCTTCAACTCTGTGTGATATCTCTCTAGAAAAACTTATACAGAATTCTGTGCACAGAATTACACTTCGTTTCAATAAATTATTCTACTACATAAACTTAGTTGTTTGCAAAATATTTGGACTATTGATTCTGTTTTCTAAAAACAGTTTTCAATTAAACATTTGATTCAGTTTGTAATTAAATTTTTATTTTAACTCCATTTATATTATATTAGTCTTCGATTATTAATCTCACAACTTCAATTGACATATAAACCTATTCAAGTTAATATTGGATACTATACATCCCAACATTAATAAATTTAAGGACGAAGAATGTATATGTAAAATCTCAGAGAATGAGATTGAACCAAATTGCCAAGCGAAACGTTGGATTTACTTCAAATTCATTCTGTGATTTTACAAATACGTTCTTCCTCCTTGATGTCTCATATCAACTCAGCGATCAAATATTGTGAAACTATTCGATTGGTAACTTTACTTTGTTATACTAATAAACTTAAATTCGCATGCTATATTTGCAAATATTTATTTGATTGAAACTTGACCATTACTTTGTATCGTTGTTTTGCATTTAGAACTGTAAAACCTGATGAACATTTAGTGAAAAGAGCATTCGTTCATATATCTGTTTTGTTATGATTATTAAATTAATTTGTTTTTGTTTATTTTAGGCTTGATTTACACTTTCAATGGCTATGAAATATCTGAACAATTTAATCCTCCCAAGGAAGATGATGGAGAGTGCGATGATGATAATGATGATGTAGACATGTCAGAAAGTATATGTGCAAATGGTCAGTCGGGTACAAATAGTTCACTTGGACATTTAACAAAATTATTGGCAAATATGCACGCTATGTCATCGGAACCAGACTATAATGCACAGAATCTTCCTTCAGATCCTTTGTTCTTACGTTCATTAACGAAAATTTTAGCTTGGCCTGATACTTCAATTTGCTCTAAAGCTGCTCAATGGATATCAATTCTGGTTGAGATGGTTAGTTTTTTGGAAAACCATGGAATTTGGTGTTTTTAGTCAGAAACTTTATCATGAATTGCATTGTAACACCAATATTTTTCTATCATTTTAAACTCTGCTCCCCGTGCTCCAGTTTTAGGAACCAAATAATGTCACCTGTCCTCATATCTAATATGTAGCTCAATGGTGATTTCGTTAATTCATATCTGTCTGTTGATTTACACTGAATAGGTTGATGTAAGTGATATTTTGATTAGTGAGTAGTCAATTTTTCCATGAAGCCTTACCAACCCCTTGCATTTGATCTTCCCTCATTGCATTAGTACGTTTTGTAATTAAATAAAGTTTGGCTAGTTTTCTTATTGTATCAGTTTCACCATAATTATATGTAAAACCGATAATTAAAATCTACTTTCATCTGTGTTTTTTGACAATTCATTTTGAAAGCTGACCAATACCGTCACCCAGACTAATTGTGGTCCAAAAATCGCTACCACACATTTATCTCCTAATATTGCAGAATTTATTTTATTCGGAATCTTATGTGGTCTACATGTAAATGGTAAAAATGCTGAAAATGCTTTAAACTGTTTATTATATGCTGGAATTAAAACTTATCTATCTGTGGATATTATTGTGGCCAGACAAAATTTACGATCTGTTATAATCCGCGTTTTAATGGATACATTAAATGGTGACAAAACTAAAGAAGGCCAAATACAACAACAAATTCAAGTCAGTATTTTTTTCTCTGTGAAAATGTATTTGTTTTACTATTGTTATTAATAATTTCTATGATGTATTTATTCTATTCATGACTATATAACTGAATGTCGAAATATCCCATTACTAGTATTTGTTACACATTTCTTCATATGTGTATTTATTCGTCATTTATACCGTTCTTGTATTTGATTCGTAAAATTGTCATCTCTTTTCCTTCTGCAAAATCATCATAATGTAGATCTTAATCATCATCAACATATTCTGTATATAATTTTGGGAGTCCGATTGATTCTGTTGCATTTCTAGAATTTTTACCATTTTTTCAGTTAGTTGCTCCATTTATGTATGAATGGAGAAAAGCGTTCAACTATCATAAAGTGTCTAATCATAGTATGTATTTTTTTGAAGTGACCTACCATACATTAACATTCCTATTGTAGATTTCTATGTAGATTCCAGGTAATGTCCACCTTGTAGATTGTCTGTTTTCAGTATCCTTTTAGAAATTTACATGAAAAATTCTCGTATCGTAAATTGCATAAATTGTGAAGAATTTTAACCCCTGATAGCCTTGAATTAAAAATGTAATAGGTTAACGAAACATATTTAAAAAAACATCGAAAAAAACCTCTATAACAATGAAAACTATTTTTTCCGCAATGTACATGCAGTTGTATGTGTAGTCCAGCATGCTTTTATAATAATTCCACGTTTATATCATATATTGCGAAGATGGTTAGTTACGTATTTAAAAGAACATTTAATTGAGTTGCATATTATTACAGTAATCAGTTTTTGTTCAGAATTTTCACATGTTGAAAAACTCCCCGTTACAAACTTTTTACAAATTCTAGATTTTTGAGGAAAAAATGTTTGGTAACCGAGACAAACCGGCAACAATGCGGGCGAGGCGTGATGCTTTTAAAAAAATCGTCGACCCTATTATTGGAGTAAGTTGTTTTCTGGCTCTATCATTTGATTTTTTTATGACCATTTCAAAACTTTTTCTATTTCGAAGTGTAAATAGAAAGCCATTCATAATTCTTCTGTAACAAACTTCACTTCAGCCGTCATAATGTCTCATTTTCCGTATTGCGTGAATGGTCTGGAGTATATTAAGTTAAGACTTCTTGAACTGAACAACACAGGTGTACTTCCATTTTACAGAAATAAGCATACAGAATCCTCTAAATTCCCCCTCACGTGCCCCGGTGCACCCGACAGTGGAGTGAGTCCTCTCTCTCTTTCGAAATGCTCTTACATGACCACGCGTATACAGCTACTGCCAGAGAAGTCCTACTCACTACCTTTTCACGACGCCAGTGTTGTTTACGAAATTGAGAGGACGAAAAGTGAATGTTTGGCGCTTTAACTGCGTTGGTGGGCACGGAGGGTCCACCTAGAGGAGTTGGGAAACCCTGATCCCAAAACAATGATGCACATGGGCTAAAGAATCATGTGGTAGCAAATGGCGTATGGACCAATATTTGGTCACTGGCTACCATGGGGCTGCATCTCCTTACGTTACTCCATCACCTTATGGATCAGACCTTTGGGTCGAAGGGATATGGGTGTGGTCCCCTAAGAAAACCACTTGATTCCGTCTGGGCACCCGGGCTGTATCACAGCCCACATATAAATCAAATGTAATGACAATTAATTCTGAAAATACTATTCTCGCTTCAATTAAAATTCGGACAATTCACATTCACTATTTTTTATATACTACGTCACTTATCTACTCTCTTCTATTCTAACTTCGTGTATCCTTATTTTCCAACTTACATAGCAGCTCAACCATAGTGGAAACTATGTTCTATCTAAACGATTTCGAGTCATAGACTAGTTGGGAATTGCATGCTACCACCGAATGCGAATACTGAAACCACGTATACCATTCAGACTGGCTGCCTTCAACCTTCACATACTAATGCAGGTTGGACAACAGATAGGGCTGGCTATGTCTTTAGAAAGTCTTAATTATCGATGTTTGCTGTCTATCCGAGACCCGTATTCAAGACTCTGATGAAGTACTACAAATTCGCTCTCAATCTGTCTCTTCAAAAAGGTCGTTTCATGTGCGTTTATCTGGGGACCCTGTGGCATCTCTATCTGGTTTTGTAGGCATTGGTGTCGAACTAGGCGCTAGAGCTGAGGCAGCACTGATCAATTGGATTACCATTAACAGTCAGTTATGTGCTGTTAAATTAGTAAGTTCCATCAAATTGAGAAAAAATCGGTGTGGGAAACGATGTCTTTTCGTCATCTCCGCCTATGCTCCGACAGATTGCAGCTCAGACGCTATCAAGGCTGAGTTTTACCGTTAGTTAAGTGTTCTTCTACAGAAAGCGCGTTTGACTTGAGTGCTCAGGTCGGGCGCCTAGACACAGAGGAGAGTGGTTTAGGTGGCCAATGGGAACTTTTTGGTCGCAGGTCAGACAACGGGGACCATCTACTGCGACTGTGCGCAGACTACAACCTGTTTTTGGCTAGAGCACTACCGCCACATCGTCGGTGTGCTACACAGTGTCCTTCATTTCTCATGTCTGGACTCAGATTGATCACATCGCGATGAGCTACCGCTGGTGTGGTTGTGTAAAAAACTGCCGCTCCTTTTGGAGCACCTATCTGGACTCTGACCATGCCTTGGTCTGCGCCAATCTTACCTTACTTTTCAGTGGCCAACGAGGTGATCGTCACCAAAGGATTGATGTCAGCAGGTTGGTTGCAACTTCTGTTGCAAGTAAGTATTGAAATGAGCTAGCTCTCATTCCACCGAAAAGTATAGATGAGCATTGGTTGCAACTACATGACGCTATGAAAATGGCGAGTAAAGCCGCTTACAGCTTTGCGAAACGTCCCGCTTACAAATGGGCTCCTTACAACTCATCGAAGCCCGTCGGTCCACTCCAGTTGGCCGTGAGTTTGACCACAAACGAAGGCTGTTACGTAATGAAATCAGGCAAAGTTTGCGTAAGGACCGAGAAGCCTGGTGGTCGGAGCGTGCTAACGAGCTGGAAGCAGCAGCTGCATCTGGTAATTACCGGAAGCTCTTTCAACTCATCCAAGACACTGGCAGCAATAAGTCTGGTGTGAGCGAAGCATTATGTGAGGATCATGGGATGCCAGTCACTAGCATCCATCGACGTCTTGGAAGATGAGCAGAATTCTTCGAATGGCAGTTCAACTGGCCTGCTGCTCCGGCAACATCAATCAGACTGTCCTGCCCTCCATAGCCGGTGACGACTGATCCACCAAATGAGGCAGAAGTCCACAAAGAACTCCAACTCTTGAAGCCATACAAATCACCAGGTTCAGATGACTTACTTCTGGCCCTTTTAAAGATGTTAGTGAATTTCTGGTTAAGGAACTAACCGAGTTGTTTAGAAACATCTAGCAATTATAGGGTGTTCCTACATCATGGAATGAATCTATTGTTGTCCCTATCTTTGAAAAGGTTTCACATCTTTTCGGTTAGAATTATCGGGTATAAGTCTACTTTCGATTACCTCCAAACTTTTGGCCTCCGTCATTTTTCGTAGATTGTTCAAAACACAAGAAAGACGGACTCGTGAAAAGTCGGTTGGTTTTCGTTCTGGCTGAGGATATATTGATCATATCTTCATCCTCCGCCAAATGTTAGACCACCTTCCTACTTATCACAAGCCAACAATCGTAGTGTTTCTTGAAATTAGGGCCGTTTTTGATTTGTTGGACGGGACTGTCCTCTGGGATTGTCTATTGATAAAGGATGTGCCTGAGAAGTCTATTAACATTTTAATAGCCCTATATGCAAACACCTCTGGTAGAGTGAAGGCATACAAACACTTTTCTCAATTGTTCCTTTCAAGCAGTGATATTAGACAGGGTTGCTCAACCTCACCATTTGTCCTCAACTTTGCCATCGATGACGTGTGTGGATCTGTTACCTGGAGAAAAATATCTCAGTCTTGAGTATGAGGATGATATCTTACTGTGCTATGATACCCAAGCCATGCAATCCGCATTTAATCAGTTGACAATCAGTGTTCGTAGGTATGATATTTGCCTTGCACGTTCTAAGTGCAGAGTACTTTTACAAGACTGGCAGGAATCTGATTCTGGTATCAAAAAGAATTCTGTAATATTCATTCACCATTTTTCCCTTTTAGTATGTTGTTTAGGTTTTAATTGAAATTTCCACTCTATTTCAGTGTATATGGAAACAGGAGTAGTTGTTCTTTTAAAATTAGGTAACACTGATCCATGTTATATGCTGTATTGAACACATTGTTTTCGTTTTAGGTTCCTCTCAGCCAACGTTTTCGTAATGAATTTCAAATATACAATATACCTCCTCTGCACCGACCCAAGTGGATTCGTATACGTGAGAAAAGGGATACATCTCATATTGAAAACGATTTCGGTCTTACAAATTTATTTACTAATGCAACTATCTAAATTGGAGAAATTATGATTGTGTACATTTCTTATTAATGAAGTTTTTGTTTCCATTTCTTTTACACCTCTAACATCAATAATTGCTTTTGTTATAACTGAAATTTTATACCAAAGTTGACAAGACAGTCAGTAGTTGATATCGTCTAAGTTCAGCATAATAAATCCTGGCATAAGTGTCAATCATAATCATCACTGTAACTCCGCCCTTCTAGGTTTAATGCCTTGCTAAAAAAACGCTAACCAGAATTAACAATTTGAACTCTGCCTTGAGAGTTGAAGGATCTTCATGTAGAAGAATTATAACGCCTCATGTTAAATGCCGAGATTATTCGGAAGTCACGAGGCCGATGCCCATTCTAACAACCAGAGGAACAATTAATATAGGTACATGGAATGTCCGGACAACATGGGAGACAGTGTGGACTAATCAAATAGTTACGGAATTGAGGATATACAACTTGGAGGTGCTCGGAATAAGTAAAACCCACTGGACCCAAGCTGGGCAGAAAAGATAAGGTTCAGTAGAAACGCTGTTTTACTCTAGTCATGAAGAATAAAATGCTTCACACACACAAAATATGAAGGCACGGATTGGCAAAGAAAGGGTAGTATCCCTACCATTGAAGAACGTATGGAACTCAAAACAACTGTCAGCCAACATCAAAGTTAGAATCTCTTATGCGAACGTCAAGATAGTTCTATTGTACGGAACTGGAACTTGGAGAAATACTGGAAGCATCATCAGGAAGATACAAGTATTTCTAGACAATTGTCTACGCAAGATACTGAATGTCCGCTAACTAGATACCATCAATTACAGCCTACTGTATGAGAGAACAAACCAACTTCCAACTGAAGAGAAAATTAGGAAAAAGCGCTGAAAGTGGATAGGACATACATTATGGAAATCACCAAACTGCATCATGAGGCAAGCGCTAACTTTCGATTCTGAAGGGAAACAGAAAATCGGAAGACCAAAGAACACGTTGCGCCGGGAAATAGAAGCAGATATCGAAAGGATGAATAGCAACTGGAAAGGAGGGTTCAAGGGTTGAATGGAGAATGCTGATGGGTGGCTTATGCTCTTACACAGAGTGTGACAGGCGTCCGTAAGAAAAGTGTACCTCATTCTGAGAACTGTTGCGTAAGACACTTCCTATGATGGTTAATTTTTAAATAATATAAGTACTGCATTTATTTTTATCCTTGCAATGGATAGACAATTCCCATTTAAACATTAAAAACACGACGTTTAGCGATCGGATCTCTTTCCAACGAATTTATTATCAAGCTGTACAATGTTGTTAAAATCTTAAGAACAAGGGGATAATAACCCCAGACTTACATGATCACATTCGTCCAACGGGTTCGACCACCCCGTGCTTACCGGAAGTACATAGACCTGTTTTGGATATGTCGAGTTCACCATGGTAATGAATCGGACAATGGTTAATGAAAAAAATTGGAACTAGTTAGAAGGCAAGTATCTAAATATTCTACTCAAGATACTTTTTAATTTACTGATCGTGTTAAGGACGTTAGTACTTTGGAAAACACGTGTTCCTGTGTGGCGTTAATTCTTTGTTCACTAGTGTACCTTTGATTGAAACGATATGCCATATATGTGGTTTTAACAACATAGATCTAAGTCTGCCAACTGACCACTTGAAAGAACTACTATTATGTTGTACCTTTAATGTCCGATTCAGTTTCAACAGTGAAATATATAGACAAAAAGATGGGGTCCAATTTGAGCAGACTGTTTTATGGCAAAACTGCATAATTAAGTTCGATGATTAATAGATTCCAACTATACGTAAGATACAAGGACGACACATTTGTGACGATAATATTGAGTTGGGAGATATCGTACACTCGTTCGACACATGCTAGTCTTCACGTTAGAAAGCGATGAGAAAGAGTAACAGTCCCTTAAAAAGATCCATATTTTGACTACAAACATGGAATGGCCATCCGACCAAATTCTACAGCTGAATTCCTTTAAGCAGAAAGAGAAACCTTATTTACCGAATACACCGGATATGTTATACAGAATGCACTGAGGAAGAATTCGCATTCCTCAGGAAGACTCCAACGAAAAATCACTATCCAGACCGCTTCATAGATAAGAATATGAAGAGTAGTTTTGACGGAATCCAGTTGCTTCGTTTATAAAAGAACCATATAAATTTGGAATTTAGAGGTGATCGAACATCTGATGTAATCAAAAATCGGTTAACGACAGTGACAAAAAGAACATTATGCGGCAAAAGAGAATAACGTTCACAAGTAGTAGCTTGTTTTCTGTATCCATAAACGATAAGCTTTCCCGTCTGGTTGCCTCCATGTGCAACATCTACCAGTTTACCTGCCCTTGTGGAGTAAGGTACATTGGCTGTAGCCAGCGCTCGCTTACAAATCTGACATGGGAACATTTCCCAATGTGGTTCTACAAGGTTGAGAGGAAAGCAGTTACAAGTTTCATATTTGAACATATAATCGACTATAATCATTCTACTGATTCATAGTTTGATTTTAAGGTTGTATACACGATTCGTCTAAATCTATCTAGATTTCGAATCCAACTCCAAAAAATAGCCGAAGCTCTTACTATCCATGACCTCAAACTAGAACTATACGTACAAAAAAAGTACATCCTATCGTTACCTTGGCCTTATTATTTTTTATTATCGCATTTCTCCCTTTACTTATGCATCACATTCCCATTATTTTATTAATAATTGCTCATATCACTTCATCTATTTCCCACCTCTATTACCTTTAATTGCCTACAATTACTGTAACAAAAACATTCCAATCATCTTACTACATTCATGTAATGATTCATTGCTAACTCATTCAGTCTAATGTTATTATTCGTATCACGTAATCTAGTATTATAATCTTTCTACTACATCATCTTTGTTATTCCTTGTTCACTTTTCCTCACGGAACTAATAATTTTCATATTTATATACGATTGTACCGCTTGATAATAAATTCGTTGGAAAGAGATCCCGTCGCTGAACTTCGTGTTTTTTTATCCTATTGGTGGACAAGTAGTAATCGACAATCTATCACTGAAACATTATCATCGGGACGAACAAATAACTACTGTATATTTTGATCCTTGTTAATTGCTGGTAAAGCATTACTCCGATAATTTACAGCAAACGATTGTATGTATACGCAAATAAAATAATAACAGACAGCCATTTATACGGAAATCCCATTACTTTCAGATTGAATTAACTCATTACATGGATGCCATCTAGCATACTTCTTTTTGGTTTATTGATGGTAAACCCGTGTATGTAAAAATCAGATATGCATCACAATCTGTCCCTAGATTTTCTCAGACACCAGGCTTGATGAAAGCTCCAAGAAAAGTTGTTGTCATATGACCCTTCAAATATCACGTGATCAAAGTAATCAGAATACCGGCCTCCATGACTTTGTTTCTGTGCTAAACCAATAATGCGCTGACTGGCACGATCGGCCTTCAGTCAACTCTGAATGGTAGCTAGTCGCCTAATCCAGCTCGTTCAGTCCAGAACACAAATCAGTCTCCGCTGTATGAATCAAATACTTCGAACATACGGTGTTTATATACAAGCAGACCAGAACGCATCATATCACAAAATGAAAAATAATAATACAAGGTCAAGCCGAAAGTGGCTGTGAGTATAGGAGACTGCAACTAATAGATTAGGAGTAAATTAAGAATGGTATGTCGTATGGTCAAATGATAAAGGAAATATGAATGTACATACATAATCTAGTTAATTAATAATTATCTAATAAAAATATATGATAGTCCATAAATAATTCTTGGCAGTTGTTACTATTCCTTTGTTCTCCGTTCGGATATAACAAAAGTAGAGTTGTCAACTGCGGTGAATAACTAATACACCTACTGTATATTTAAATATTTTATGTTGTGTTTAAACCTATCATAATAATACAACACAATCTCACACTGCATACCTCGAATTTGAGTTTTTGATTGTTTTGTTAAACTTCTATTTCGTTATTTCAAATTCATACCAACGCACCCAACTAAATGACTCAGTATGGTCACTCTGCGGTAATACGGACCTGGCCGTCTTGCATTTAGAGTGAAAGAAATACATCCCGGAAATGCATATCTGCATGCTCAAAATGTTTTTAGAACTGCATCATATCAAAGTTAATGCCATCTGGATATTTAAAATCGATAAGCGAGTCTCTGGGATGATTAATCTCTGAAAAGTTAGGCAAAGCGAGTAACCCTTACGGAGATATCTATGGCGAGTAGTGTGCATCTATGAACACCACCTAAGTAAATTTGGAGAAACTGGACATTCAAACGTTTCTCCAGGCCTTGGAAGAATTCTATAACCTGAAATTTACGAATAATCATTTTCTCCCGACTCATTGAAATCATGAACCGATCAATGTTAGACCACCTTTGAAAACATGGAAGCGCTGGACGGCTGTTTCATCTCAGCATGGAACTCCACAGCAGTTCAAATCCACAATTCCGTACACATGATTCGAACCCAGGACCTTCGGCGACGCGCGCGAACGCTTAACCTCTCGTCTACTGAGCCAGTATCCAAAGGTGTTAATGTCTAATTCCAGTCAAAAGGTTTATTCTTTTTAAAATGCCTATTTCCCTCTAGCGATATCCATTACCCACTTGTATTTCTTCTACTACGTCTACTTCTCCCCACATATTTGACCGCTATTGAACAATATGAGCTCAAACTTAAAAATCCGACCCTTATAACATTATGTCTATATATTTTAGGGTTTTTAAGAGTGTATATTGGTCGCACTAGATTCTAGAGTCATAGCTAAAGAATCCTGTTAGAGGATTTGAGATGGAGTTCGAGCTATGAAGCCTCCAATATGTAGTTTGGAGGGTGGTTTCAGTAGACCAAGAATATCATTTCTTGAAAACTGGTGTCACACGCATCGAAGAGAAAGAAGGTTGTTAGTAAAAAGAGGAAATATTTGGGAATAAATTAGTTCATTTTGAAAACGATGAGTTTGAGTGCCGTAATAAAAATGAGGATAATATCACTTTTCGGTAGTCCACAATGTGGGACGATATATCTTCTTGAGGTACCTGGGAAAGAAAACAGGTTCAGTGGTAAACTTGATGAGCCGGGAGCATGGTCACAGAACCTAAAATAAAACTGCTAAAGAGTTAAATACAGACGGGCTATCAATGAGTAGTTTCAAATGTGTGAACTCTACTTTTCAAGCAGTATTACTTGAGCAGGAAATTCGTTGGGCAAGGTGATATACGCTGTTTATATGGCAAATATTTGTTAACGCTTTCATTCCGTTGCGAGGGAGGAGCGTCGTGGGGGATGTCGGCTATTTGTCGGAAACAATTTGCTGGCATCATACCCCAGCACAGGTGGTAGCACTAATTCCTTCTCAAACTCTACATTTCCTGTCTCATCTTCAGTCATCCCTGTGTCGTAGAATTACAAGGAACAAGATAATTATTGGGTCGTCACGACAGCCAAGCCTAATTGCCTTGTCAAGGTACCAGCTATGGTCTGGCCTGTAAGCTGATGCCCCGAATAAGCTTAGTACCTGCCTAGTAAGGACATGAAGACAAAATAACGATGGTTAATTATACAATCAATTATCAACATAATTATGTGAATTTTTTACAATCAAGATAAGGATTGAAAAGAAAAATAACCCCTGTGATAATTACATAATTAAAAAAATAGCTCATAAAAATCAGAAAATCTGTTTAAATATTTTCATAGCATGAATATAAACTATTTTGGAATAATTACTTAGGTGGTGTTAATCAAACGAAATTGTTTTCATGTGCCGATCCACTTAAATGAGTAATGCGAAACGATGTACATTTTGTTAAATATTTCAAAAGTTGAATGTTAAGATGGAGATTCAACAACAGTAAAGAGAGATTATATAAAAGATGAAAATGGTATGATTAGCCCATTCACAGACACAAAGTTTTCGTTCAGTGATATTAGTAAAATAGGGAAGTATGTGTACTTTCTTTACTATCACAACTCTTTAGAGATGTACAATTCACTAGATGGCATTAAAGTATATCTGTACAACAACTGACGTATTATGATGACTATGTTCTAAATTAAAAATAAGCAACTTAATATAAAGTCATATTGGGATCTTGAGTCAAAAAGTTATCTCAAGAGATTCAAGAAAGTGTCTAGCCACAACGAGCTATTGCCGAATGTGGTTGTTCTAATTTTTCCAAATATTCAAAGTGCTTGCGTGCATTGCGAATATTCAGCAAAGTTGCAGAAGAGGCTAGAAAAAAAACGAGAAAAACATCAATTTAAAACAAATTGCGCAATATCCAACATTCGTAAAAGGAAATTGGTGTTAATCATTTAGTAAGTCACTTGGAACCTAGTGAACAATACGAAACATATCTCTGATCACTCATAACAGTATTTATAATGAAATTAGGAACGCTTGTAGAAATAAAAAACGACACAAGTTTTTCGCAATACCAACTGACAAAAGTGGTTACTGGATTTTATACACTCTAAAAGCACATCTGCATTTAGATACTTGAGTTTAATAAAGATAGCAATAATCAATATAATTCTAAGAAGTAAAGGACTGGCATCATTCCACAAAGATCCTAACCTTATTATCCAGATTAATAACTATCTATATCTATACGAGACATCGCTGCTAAAATTCTGTTAGCCGGTGGATGTCGAACGAGTGTTCATCATCCCTGAGAGATAGGCAAATAAATTTCAAAACTCGTTTTTACTACTCATTTTCCATCCAATTTTTCTGATGGCTGATTAGATAAACATTATTCACAGAATTGTGGTTTGTGAAAGTCAACTCTCTAAAGAGAAGAGTGAGATGTTTCACTTTTACAAATAATAAACTGGTTTATACGGTAAATGTTTTAGGTGTGAAACTTAGAAATAATGTCGCATACGATCCCAATTTTAACTAGCAATAATACGTGCTTATTTACACCTGTCACACTCTGTGTAAGAGCATAAGCCACCCATCAGCATTCTCCATTCAACCCTTGAACCCTCCTTTCCAGTTGCTATTCATCCTTTCGATATCTGCTTCTATTTCCCGGCGCAACGTGTTCTTTGGTCTTCCGATTTTCTGTTTCCCTTCAGAATCGAAAGTTAGCGCTTGCCTCATGATGCAGTTTGGTGATTTCCATAATGTATGTCCTATCCACTTTCAGCGCTTTTTCCTAATTTTCTCTTCAGTTGGAAGTTGGTTTGTTCTCTCATACAGTAGGCTGTAATTGATGGTATCTAGTTAGCGGACATTCAGTATCTTGCGTAGACAATTGTCTAGAAATACTTGTATCTTCCTGATGATGCTTCCAGTATTTCTCCAAGTTCCAGTTCCGTACAATAGAACTATCTTGACGTTCGCATAAGAGATTCTAACTTTGATGTTGGCTGACAGTTGTTTTGAGTTCCATACGTTCTTCAATGGTAGGGATACTACCCTTTCTTTGCCAATCCGTGCCTTCACATCTGTATCACATCCTCCTTGCTCATCGATGATGCTGTCCAGGCACGTTCACGTTTCCACATCTACTAGAGCTTCTCCATCAAGTGTGATCGGGTTGGTGCTCCAAGTGTTGTGTTTCAGAACCTTGCTTCATCAGTATCGATTACCTCAAGTGGTGCTCGTCAGGGCTGCCCACTCTCTCCATTCTTGTTTAACTTCGTCGTTGACGTACTTTTAGAGATAACACTTTCCTCGTCTAGATTTCCAGGGGTTGAACTTCTACCGAGATTCACTTTCTGACCTAGAATATGCCAACGACATAGTTCTATTTGGTGAAGACGCTGACAAAATGCAGAGTCTTCTGACCACTCTAAGCAACAATGCAAGCATGTTCGGGATGCGATTCTCCCCCTCCAAATGCAAAATGTTGCTTCAGGATTGGGTTGCATCGACACCTGAACTAATGATAGGGAGTGAAGTAGTTGAGCGTGTCGACCGCTTGACATATCTTGGAAGTCT